GAACCCTATTGAAATTGGGAAAAATCGGTTCAGATTTAGATGTAGCTCCCATATATATATTTAACCGATTTAATGTAAACGGTCCCTATATATCTTTCGATTTGCACGAAATTTGGTACAGGCTAATCATTTAGGTCTGTAATGATGTCTGCCAATTTTCGTGAAAATCGGTCCAGATTTAGATATAGCTCCCATATATAGTTTCGTCCGATTTCATGTAAATGGTGCCCCAAAGTCCCTATATATCCTTCGATTTGCACGAAATTTGGCATAACGTACTTAATTGAGCCCAGAATGATGTCTGCCAAGTTTCGAGAAAATCGGTCCAGATTTAGATATAGCTCCCATATATAGTTTCGTCCGATTTCATATAAATGGTGCCCCAAAGTCCCTATATATCTTTTGATTTGCACGAAATTTAGCATAACGTACTGAATTATGCCTAGAGTGATGTCTGCCAAGTTTCGAGAAAATCGGTCCAGATTTAGATATAGCTCCCATATATAGCTTCATCCGATTTCATGTAAATGGTGCCCTAAAGTCCCTATATATCTTGATATAAAGTCCCCTAAATCCCTATATATTGAAATGAGCCTAGAATGATGTCTGCCAAGTTTCGAGAAAATCGGTCCAGATTTAGATATAGCTCCCATATATAGTTTCGTCGGATTACATGTAAATGGTGCACCAAAGTCCCTATATATCCTTCGATTTGCACGAAATGTGGCATAACGTACTTAATTGAGCCTAGAATGATGTCTGCCAAGTTTCGAGAAAATCGATCCAGATTTAGATATATCTTCCATATATAGTTTCGTCCGATTTCATGTAAATGGTGCCCAAAGTCCATATATATCTTTTGATTTGCACGAAATTTGGTACAGCCTAATCATTTAGGCCTAGAATGATGTCTGCCAAGTTTCGAGAAAATCGGTCCAGATTTAGATATAGCTCCCATATATAGCTTCATCCGATTTCATGTAAATGGTGCCCTAAAGTCCCTATATATCTTTCGATTTGCACGAAATTTGGCATAACGTACTGAAATGAGCCTAGAATGATGTCTGCCAAGTTTCGAGAAAATCGGTCCAGATTTAGATATAGCTCCCATATATAGTTTCGTCGGATTACATGTAAATGGTGCACCAAAGTCCCTATATATCCTTCGATTTGCACGAAATGTGGCATAACGTACTTAATTGAGCCTAGAATGATGTCTGCCAAGTTTCGAGAAAATCGGTCCAGATTTAGATATATCTTCCATATATAGTTTCGTCCGATTTCATGTAAATGGTGCCCCAAAGTCCCTATATATCTTTTGATTTGCACGAAATTTGGTACAGCCTAATCATTTAGGCCTAGAATGATGTCTGCCAAGTTTCGTGAAAATATGTCAAGATTTACATATAGCTCCCATATATAGTTTCGTCCGATTTCATGTAAATGTTGCACCAAAGTCCCTATATATCTTTCGTTTTGCACAAAATTTAGCATAACTTACTGAATTGAGCCTTGAGTGATGTCTGCGTTGTTTCGTGAAAATCGGTCCAGATTTAGATATAGCTCCCTTTTATTATAGATTGATTTTAAGTAATTGACGCACCAAGAACCAATAGGAACAAAATGTTCTGAAATTAGTATAACCTATCCTGTGACAAGTTTGTTTGAAATCGCTTAATCCATATATATTTTCGCCCGATTTCAAGTAAATTGGGCATCAAACTCCTCATGTTAGTCAGTTTGACATCAAATTTTGCACAACGTACAAAATTGAGCATAGAATTATGTAGTTGCGTTTTCTAGAAGTACATACATAGCCCAACGGATGACCCATTTATATTTGTTTGAAGTCGATTTACATACTTTATGGATAGATCTACGTAGATTCACATTTAGATAAATATCACATATTTTATTTCATCCAATTTCATGCTAATAGTCCTATTTAATATACCCATAGTGGTGAAGGGTATCATATATTCGGCCCCGTCCGACTTTACTACTTTCCTTACTGGTTTTACTTGGTTTGTTGTAAAAAATATGCATTTTTCCAAAAAATATTTTTTCAAATGTCCGCCATTTTGTTGATTTTTGAGCACCGTTTAACACCGTTGGAATTTTCGGATTCCGATGTTCCAATGAGGAGTTTTCATACCCGCCATGAATAATAAGAACTTTTTTTTTTTTTGATCTCAACAACAAAACAATAACAAAAAAATGTTTAAATTGTTGTTCCCTTAAAACAAACCACCTCACCCGCGCCTCTTTTGGAAAGTTAGGCAGGATCTTATAAAATGCCTCTCATGACAGATACGTTGAGTTCGCTTCCATTTATATCTGCGTTGAAGATTGGTGATGTATTCATTCTTCCAGCGTTTGGCGAAATGGGATCGTTGCCATCGATTCATAAGAGAGAGGTTATCGAAAGATTATTCAGGTGTGACGATAAGAGGAGCTCCTCTCAACAGATGTCCAGGAGTCAGCGGTGCTAATTCAGTAGGTTCTTCGTTCAAAGGAGACAAGGCGAGAATTGAGGATGCTTTCGATATGGATAAGTAAGATGGAAAATTCTTCGAAAGAGTATTTCAATTTTACCGCTACTTTATTTACATGGGGTTTCATGCTTTTGACAGCAGCTTTCCATAGTCCACCCATATTCGGAGCATAGGGCGGGATGAAGTGCCACGTAAACCCGTGAATATTATACGGCCAGAACAGGAAGGGTGTCGTTTTCCAACAGGACAACCCTAGGCCACACACATCTACAGTGACTCGCCAGGATCTTGGTTGGGAAGTTTTAATGCATCCGCCATACAATCCGGACTTGGCACCAAGCGATTATCACCTTTTTCTAGAATTGCAACATTTGTTTAGGATTGTGAAAATCGACTACTAGAGTTTTTTTTTGCAAATAGAGAGCAGGACTTGTGTGAGAGAGACATTATGAAGTTGCCTTTAAAATGACAACAAATCATAAAACCAAATGGTGCATATTTGGCCCAAATCGGATATTCCGAAACATATTAAATAAAGTCTTATAGTTCATATAAAAATAATGGATTTCTTTTTCCCCAACCTAATATTTTAATTCATTCCATTAAGAACCATGGATGACGCAGCTCATACTATTTTTGAGATAAATTACATCTCTCTCTTTAAAGTTATGTTTTCACAAAAGTTAAAAATCCGTATCAGATCATTTATTGAAACGGAAGTGGTTCACAGAAAATGTAATTAAATCCGCGATATTTTCAAAAAATTATTTTGTCAAATTTCGCGTTTTCCCGCGGTTATAGTAGATTGAATTTCACGAAGAAAACTTTATTTTACCCGAAACTTAAAACTTACTGACCGCGGGTACCCATATGACAGATATAACAATTTCACCGAAAAAATAGGTTTTTTAGAAATTTGATTGGCAGGCCAGTTCCCGCCGTTCTAGTAGATGGATTTTATCCGGAACGTAAAAAAGCTTGCTGATCACGGGTACCCATATGAATCAAATGACTGATATAAAAATTTCGCCGGGAAAATTGTTTTTTTTTAGAATTTTGATCACACAAAATTTCCACATTCGAATTAGTATTACTCTAAAGTCGTAAATACACAAAAAGATTCGGGAGTTCAACAATCCTAAAATTATTCAAACTAGAAGAAATATTAAAAAAAATACACTTAAAATCGAGCATCAACATTTAAATTCAATACATTTCCAATACATTTTCGAAAAACGATACATAAGGAACGTACTCATTTTACTTTTACTTTAACAGGAAAGTCTCCAAATGAGTGGTTTATTCACAAATCGAGAAAAAACCTAAAAACCTGGGTTGCCTCACCCTGTTTTTACCCATTTTTTTTAGATTAAAGTAGACACAGAATCCACGTAAATAAACTTTGGAGGTCAATATCATGAAAAGTTTGCAACGACAGATCAATAAACCATTCAGTTTTCTTATGTACTTTAATAATTCCGGAGTTATACTCGGCTTCAGCTATGTTAAAAAAATTGGCAATAGTGCCCATATAATTTATAACACACTTTTTGTTCTCACAAAAGTTAATTCTGAGAGGCAATAAAATATTCCGATAAATATGTTCAGCATCGGTCCACCTCTTGGTATCTGCAAAAAATATATATCGTCCAATATCTTAAATTGTATTTTAATAGCTTTTTTGCATCCTAAAATATATTTTTAATTCATAACATTAGAATTTAAACAAAATTGTACGAATTCGCCTACATGTTAACCATATGAATAAATCTTGATCTATCAAGATCCGTGAGAAAAAATATCTACAAACCACGATTAAATCATTCATTGGAAAAGTATATTGAAGTAAGGGTTGCTCGTGTGGCATAACAGGGTGCCGCGAACGATTAAAATACGCACTTGCTGAAAATCGTCTAAACAACAACAAACAAAAAGATCACAGGATTATAATATATTCATTGCATTTTTTAAAAAGAGCAAAGCTAGGCAATAACTGTTTAAATTAAAATCTGTTTTCATTATTGTCATTATAAATTGGAAACCAGTATTTAAAAACTCTAGTTCAGGGTCTCACCTCACGTTCATATGCACCGATAACAGTTTGTACCCATTGTAATTATAAATTGAAATAAGAAATAGACAGGCCTTTTATGATACAAATTAATATATTCTTTATATTATACATAAGTAAAGTTATGTGTTTTCTTATTTTGTAAACCTTAGCATAAAGTATATTTAATAATATTACTCTCCTTACACTTAAAATATAATTATGATTGATCCAAGAGAATAAGAACTATATTAAAAAATTTGCAATAACGATGAGATGAGAATATTCAGATTTTAAAGTACGTAAAAGTTGATTAGAATAATAAATAAATAAAAACAAAAAATATGTTTGGAGTAGGAGTACTCACAAATTTGAACAAGCAGTGATGAAGGTTACTACAATCGGAGTTCAAAAATTGTATAGACTTAAAGTAACACAGAATAAGAAAGCTTTTTTGGTTGAGTAGATTACGGATACAAGTACGATTGATTTTGTTGGCGGGTTTTTTAAATATTAATAAAACAAATCAATCGATTTTAACAGCACTGTATATCTTACGGATAAAGCTGTATGCCGCAAAGAAACCAATCGTTCCCGTTAGAAGCCAAAAAGTCAATACCATTAAACCTACAAAATCAAATATTATTAATATCTATATCTATTTATATAATGCGATTACTTACTAGTGTATCCGAAATATAACAGAGTGGGAATAAATTCAGTAATTTCCAATTTAGTAAAGAAGTAAAAAACACTGTAGAAAAGGACATATACAGCTGATCCACCAGAAACTATAAAACTTCGCCACCACCAACGATAATCCTGCAATTAAATTGGTATATTAAAATTTCTTTTGAACAATATGATGTTCAATATTACCTCTCCACATAATTGGAAATATGTCATAACTATAGATATTTGACCGCAACTTACGACCAATATACAAAACACCAAAAATAAAAATCCAAATAGATAATAAAATTGATTTTGCCATATGGCAGTAAAAACGAAAAATAATTCAATGAATACAGCGCCAAAAGGTAGTATACCAGCCATCAGGGTGCTAAAAGAATACAAATAACAGATATATATTCGGTTAGGTAAATATGTACTTACTATAACATTGAAAGATCTTACCTTAGTAATACGTTCATATACCAGTGCTGCGTTGGTACTTGCCGGGGTATCATATTTGTACGAACGGGATGCTGATATGGTTGTTTACGATAGCCAAAGTAATAGCCTAAATATACTAGTGGGACGGATATGCCAAACCATAATAAAAGCAATGATATCATTGTTTTAAATGGCACAGCACCACTGGATTCTTTGTCCCAAATAAAAAAGTTCAAAAAGAATCCGGTCCTAAGTGAATTGTAAATGAAAATGATAACAAACGTTTCTTCTTTTGTTTTAACGAGTTCTTACCCAAACACAATACTAGGATATAAAGTAGCGGTTAGAAATGCCGATTTTTTCCATTCTCGACCTTTCATTGTTTTGTATAAGCGTGCAGCAAAGTAACCAGCTATTATACCCATGAAGACGTACATAAATATTCCTGATGTCATTAGAGCTCCCCGGGAAGATGGAGAAAGCATTCCAAGCATTGCGAAGACTATAAATAAATAGATTAGATGTTATTAACAAAAAAGAAAATATATAAAATGATTGCTTTTCATTCATGAATTCTAGTTTCTTGTACTGAAGATAATTAACTTAAAAAATAATTTAATTGAACGAATACATTAGAAATGACGAAAAAATAAAGACAATTCCGACTTGTAGTCCAGTTATGGAATACAATATTTTTTGTATACTTACATATCGTTATTAATGACATAAAAAATATTTGAATGCCACTTCCAATAACTGCGGAAAATAAACGTGTATTTTTTGGAGGACGAAATACATCTCCATGGACCAACTTCCATCCCGTTTCTTCCAACGTATCCTCAATATTGTCATCGGTGTTATAACGCGCAATGTCTCGTCTCAAAGTGCGTATCATGATCATTGTCAGAATGCCTACAATATTCTTAAAATTAATAACCGCATCGCCATATTATGTAGAATGGATCTTACCAGAAAGGAAAAATACTACTACTAGAGAGTTTATAATGCTGAACCAGTGAATTTGTACGTCTTTCATTCCCAGATATATATCCCAACGGGATGCCCAACTAACTTTAGATTCCTTCCACTCAACGGAATATGTGAAATATAATTGTGTGTTGGAATTGGGATTCACCAATTGAGGTCGCGCATTGTCAGGAAAATTACAGTTGTCTCCCTCAAACTTGATGTCCTTATAATTTACTGAAGCTGTTTCAACTTCAAAGCCCACAACACGGTATTTATCTCTATAATTATAAAGTACAACGATGAACGTTTAAATAATTATCCTTATGTTAGATGTAATGTAGAAGACTTACTTGGTATGCATATGGTACGATAAAATAAATTTGAGATGATTATTAATGTACACGTTATCACCGTCTACAAGACCTAATCTATAGCCATGTTCGTAGCTAACCTCAGTAGGATTATTAAGATTCACTATGCGTGTGGCTACAGGTAAATTGTCGACCAATAAGTGAACGAAATATTCATGTTTTATTCGCTCGACCACCATTGCTGACTGCGGTTGTTCCCAATTCAGGGGCGAGTTGTCCTTTTTATTACACAATAACTTACAGTTGACATTTACAGCCATCTGTACATCGTACGGAGTATTAACGATGCGATCTCCGCGAAGAACTTCACCCAAATTCTCTGACTTATAGATAAGTGTACCATTTTTAGGCAAACAAAACTGAAGAGAGTAATACTGATAAGGCAATTGTGTACGGCTGCTGGTCATTTTGACAGCTTTCACGTCAATTTTCTGTCCCTTAACAAACTCAACCGGCGCCACTCCCGGTACATAAAAGCATTCTGTTCCAAACACTGAAAAACAAACTGAAATATTTTACTGTCCAAAATCACTATGACGATTACTTACCAAACGTCAGTAGGATGACCACCGCTAGCGTCGTGTAGTACTGAAAGTACAATTTGTTAGTCATATAAAACTAGTACATGCATATTCCAAGGAATTAGCTTGCGTGGCTGTTTATTCCGAATACCAACCATTGCCTAATTAAATTTTAAACGAATTTTTCTTTATGATATCGAAGAAAATAGTAAAATCGAGTAGATTCTTGCAGTGACAAAGGTCAACCAAGTAGCAATCGAAATCGGAAAACAGCTGTTTTTTCTCAAGTCAAAATTTTCGACTCTGTTTACGTTTTCATAATTGGTCTGTTCCCGTACTGCAAAAATCTTTTTTCCTTTATGATATCGAAGAAAATAGTAAAATCGAGCAGATTCTTTACCAAATGTAAGTCAATTCACAATAATGCATTTTGACAGCAAACTTGGTGGCGCAGATATCAGCTGCCTTTTAAGTTTGCTGTCAAAATCCATTATTGTGAAATTGACTTCCA